AATAAAGAGACGTTTCATGTTCATGGTTTGAAAGATTGGCATTATCAAGGTGACAGTTTTCTCCAACTTGACTCAACAAAATTATAGTCAGAATTGCAACAGGTTTTTGTTTTGTTTTGTTTTGAAGAAGTTGATAAACTCTTTCTAAAATACATATGGAAAGGGCCCAGAATAAGCCTAGACAATTTTGAAAAAGAATGAAGCTGGAGGACTTACGTGTCCTAATTTCAAAGCTTACTAAAATAGATATATTGATTAAATGGAACAAAATTGGGAGTCCAGAAACAAATCTTTAAATTTTTACATAGAGTGCCAAGGCAGTTCAATAGAGAAAGGATTGTTTCCAAAATGGTTCTGGGACAACTGGATAGCCATATGCACAAAGATAAATCTAGATCCTTACCTCATATATGCACAAAATTAGCTAAAATGGATTAAAGCCCTAAATGTAAGAGTTAAAACGATAAAGCTTCTGTTAAAAAATATAGGAGAAAATTTTCATGACCTTGGATTAGATGAAGAGTTCATAGATATAGCACCAAAAGCACAATACATAAAAGGAGGGGAAAATGGGCTTTATTAAAAGTAAAATCTTTTGTGTTTCAGAAGACACTTTTATGAAAATGAAAAGCCACAGACTGGTAAAAAACATTTGCAGATCATGTATCTGATAAAGGGATTGTATTTAGAATGTATAAAGAATTCTTATAACTCAATAGTAAGATTACAGACAACCCAACTTCTTAAATGGGCAAAAGACCTTAATATATATTTTACCAGAGAAGATATAGAAGTGACTAATAAGCATATGGAAACATGCTCATCATTATTACTAATTAGGGAAAGTCAAATTAAAATTGTAATCATATGCAACTTCATACTTACTAGAATGGCTATAATCAATAAGACCAAAAACGTAAATGTCGGTGGGGATGTGGAGAAATTGGAATTCTCACCCATGGCTTGTAGTAATGTAAAATGATACAGCCACTTCAGAAAATGCTTTGGCAATTTCTGTAACCTAAATTTACCATCCTACCCAGCAATTTCCCCAAGAGAAATGATATTTCCACACAAAAGCCATATGAATGTTCACATGGTAGCACTATTTATAATAACTCGAAACTGGGAATAAACCAATAACCATCAATTAGTGAATTAATAAACAAAATATGATATCTGTCTACTCAGTGGAATATTATTCTGCCATGAAAAGTAATGAAGTATTGATTTATGCAGCACATGGATAAACCTTGTGGACAGAATTCTAAGTAAAAGAAGCCAGGTGCAAAAGACTATATGCTGTATGATCCCTTTTATGTGAAATGTTCAAAAAAGGCAAATCTATAGAGATAAGAGGCAAGTGAACAGAAATTGACTGCCATCAGTCACAAGGGATCTTATGGAAATGTTATGATCTGGGTTGTGGTGATGGTTGTACAACTCTGTAAATTGATTAAAAGTCATTGAATTTTACACTTAAATTGAATGAATTTTATGGCATATAAATTGTGCCTCAATCAAGCTGTCTAGAAAAACAAACAAACAAACAAAAAATGGGGCAGGAAGCACAAGAGGTCCCAAGCACTCTATCCACATTGTTGATTATAATTTTCTACTAATCCTGTGAGGTAGGTGATGGCATCTTACTTTGTTATTGAGGACATTGAGGCTCAGCAAGCCCAAGTTCACTGATCGAGTTGCCAAGTAAATTAAGTAATTAAATTGTTAAGTTGCCAAGTAAATTACATTGTCAAGAATTTAAGTTCATACAAAACATATATTAATTAAAACATGACTCACTGGGTAGGAGAATTAATTTAAAGATCATATTAGTTGTATAGCATAGAATGTGGTTGGAGGATTACAACCAGAAAAAAACTGAGTGGTTTCTGGAGTCATCATCTTCTGACCAGGTTAAAATTTGACTAGACTTTTCTTTGTACACCTATGGGATTTTTAAAAAGGAGATATTCAATGATTTGACAGTGGCAATGATTTGAAATAGCCGTTTTAAGCCTTTTGTACTCAAGATATTAGGTCTTATGAAAATGGGCAATTTTAGAACTTTGAAAGGGAAGTAGTACTCATGGGTGCAGTTAGGTTAGATAAAGTGAGATATTGGTCCAGAAAAGATTCAAAGTTTTTTCTTTTTCAAGAAAAAGATTGCCATTTCTTAGCAGTGAATGAGGAATAAGAAAAGACATTTACATTACTGTATAGTACAAGGGGCAGGTCTTAGGACCAGGATAAACATGAAAAGTGTATACAAATCTGCCTAACACAGGACCCAATACAGCATCAGATGCTCAGTAATACAGCTTAGTCTCATGAATTTAGAACTGAAGAAATGATGAATTAAAATATGATTCATAGCATCTGCAGAGGTGTAATTATGCTTGGGGCAGCTGCAATGGGAAGAAATCATTTTTTTTTTTAGAAGAGCAGAAAGAGGAGTAAATACTCCCTATTCAGTTAACAATAAGAAAAATATGTTTACTTCATTCAGTAACTGTGTAATAAGCACTTTTGTGCAGCATTGGCGGGACGGGAAAAATAGGGTCACTGCTGACATAAATGGAGTCTGAGTGACTCCAGCTCTGTGATATGTGAAAAACTGAAATGTAGAAATTAGAAGAGAGTTAAATTCTAGGTATTCTTAGTATGGACCAGAAGGCGGCTTCAAAACATTTTGGAAGGACAAAACTGCCTGAATTCGTGGTAAAGCTGTTACGAGAAGAGTCTTCTGCAGCTTAGGAATAGATTTTATCACCCCAAATATGTTATCTTTTACATACAACTTTTTCTATGTGTTATACTCTTATAGGTTTGAAATGTTTGCTTTGGTCTGGTTCTGTTAGAATATTGAAAATCCGCAGGGCTCAGTGGCTCGTACTTGTAATCCCACACTTTTGGAGGCTAAGACGGGAGGATTGCCTGAGCCTGGGACTTCGAGACCAGCCCAGGCAACATAGTGAGACCCTGTTTCTACAAAAAATTTAAAAATTAGGTGGGCCTGGTGGCATACACCTGTAGTCCCAGCTATTCAGGAGGCTGAGGAGGAAGGATCAATTGAGCCCAGGAGATAGAACACTACTGTACTACAGCCTGGGTGACAGAGCACCCAGGTGCCTCTTTAAAAAAATAGACAAAAAGAAAAGGAAAATCTTTTATACTTCACAATTATAGAAAATCTTTAAGTGCTTTTTTGTCTTTTTGAGTTCTCTGTCCCGAAAAAACAACTACTTAGGTTCTGCTTTATACATATAGAATCATCCCTCAGTGTCCTCAGGGGATTGGTTCCAGGACCCCTGCCAGATACCCAAATCTTCAGACACTCGAGTCACTTATATCAAATGACATAGTATTTGCATATAACATATAGCCTGTGCCCATCCTCCTATATATTTAAAGTTATCTCTAGATTGGTTATAATAACTGGTGTAATGGAAATGCTTTGTAAATAGTTGTTATATTATGTTGGGTTTTAATTTACATTATTTTTACTGTTATTTTTCATTTTTCGAATATTTTTGATCCACAGTTGGTTGAATTGGCAGGTGTGGGACCTGTGAGTGCAGAGGACAAACTATATATTGATTATATATCCTAGAACACAGTGACTTTGACTAAATTCCAACTAGTTTAAGGAGCCTGTATCAGTATATGTAGCATTCACTGATAATTGAAATAGAGGCTTGTTCTATACTGTCTTTTATAGATAGCATCAAAATTGCAGCTCACTGGGGACAGATGGCCTCTTCTGCTTTATGGAAGGTTATCTAGCCTACGAGATCTCTGTGAGCAATTTCTATTTTACACAGAGTGACTTAATAGTCTTTAAGTCACACTTGCCTCTGGTACCCAACAGGCCTAACTTTCAGACATATTGTAGACCTGTGGTATCCAGTGGCATCCATAGCCACATGTGGCCCTTGAGCACTTGAAATGTGGCATGTTCAAACTTAGATATGCTGTAATTATAAAGTAATGTACTATTTTCAGATTTAGAAAGGATAAAGCAAAATAACTTAATTTTTAAATATTGATTTCATCTTAAAGTGATAATATTTTTCATGTATCAGGTTAAATAGAATATATAATTAATTTTTTTTTTAACTCTTTTCAATTGGGCTACTAGAAAACTTAAAATTACATATGTATTCTGTTAAATAATGCTGATCTCGGAATGGGTTTTACTGTTTAATAATATTTTTAATGTCAATTTGTCATTTATATCTAAATGTCTGTTATTTTCCTTAAGTCAAAAAGAAATTTAGGCACCTTGATTTGTTTTTAAAGCCTCACAGATAATATCTTAGATCTTCACTTTTCATGCTAACTTTTATGAGATTCATAGTATCATTGAATGTTGCTTTTTCCATAAAGAAGAAATCGTTTAAGACACTGGACTTTTTGAGAACTAATTTTCATTACAGAATAGTTAACTTAATTTTTTTAATGCAAAGAAGGCATCTTATGTATACCTTTAGTTATTTTTATACTATCTCTGTTGTGCATGTTGTTGACACTTAATTCTTAGAAAAATATATAACTTTCCATTTTTCTTGTCCTTTATTGTTTTGATTTTTTTCTATGATAACCACTAAGGAGATTTCTGAATGAGAAGGAGCTTCACAGACACTTCCATATTTTGCTTATATGATTCTTCCCTGGAGCAATTGTATCCCATAATTAGAGCTTATGTGATTCTTTGTTTTTTGAATAAGAAATTGGTAATGGAAAACTATTCTCTGTTTCTTTTATGGTCACTTTATTTCTCTTATCTCCTAAATGTTCAAAGCTTTGGTTCTAAAATGTTTGTTTTTGTGGTTAATTTCTGTGGAAACACTAAACTAGATTAGTAAAAAAGGACAAATGTAGAGGTTACTAGATGGCAGGTTAATTAGTTCACTGATTCTAGAGTGAGGCTGAGAAAAGTCACTATGCTTTCAGAAACATTTACAGCAGATCATTTTCTAATCAAGTTCTCTTTTCAGGCACTACAGACACCACCTCCAACAACACGGCAACCGTGATTTCCACAGCACCTCCTGCTTCCTCCGCAGTCACATCCCCCTCTCTGAGCCCCTCCCCTTCTGCCTCAGCCTCCACCTCCGAGGCATCCAGTGCCAGTGAGACCAGCACAACACAGACCACCTCCACTCCTTTGTCCTCCCCTCTTGGGACCAGCCAGGTGATGGTGACAGCATCAGGCTTGCAGACAGCAGCCGCCGCCGCCCTCCAAGGAGCTGCGCAGTTGCCAGCAAATGCCAGTCTTGCTGCCATGGCTGCTGCTGCAGGACTAAACCCAGGCCTGATGGCACCCTCACAGTTTGCGGCTGGGTAAGCCACTTTCTCATCTCCTTCACATCTGAGAAACAGCTGGGAGGTCATTCTGGATTTACTCATAGAGATACTTTTCATCACCATCTTAAATGAAAAAAAAAAAATGTCTTTAAGGCAATCATCTTTTTTAAAGGACCTGTTCTGTGATCAATTTTTTCTTTTGTTTTGGAAAAAAAGATAATGAAATTATTCTAAAAAGAATCAAAATGACTGTAAAAGTTTTACATTTTATATAAGGACTTTAATTATAGTTGAGCTGAAGTGCACACCCTGGAAAGGGCAGTAGTCATGCATTTATTTCCAGGTGAAGACCCAGAGCACCAGGTCACTGCCCAGTGATGAAACTAGGAAAAAAACTCAGAATTCTTGACTCATTGTCTCCATTAAAATCTTTCCACTGTCTACTTTCTTTCTAATTCTCAAACAGATAAGAAATGTAGTCATCAGAGTCCCAAGTTTATATTATTATTGTCAGACATATTATGAGAATTACCTTATAAATATATCCTTTTCTCTGGAGTTTTTTCTTTTGTTTTGGGAAAAAAGATAATGAAGTTATTCCAAAAAGAGTCTAAATGACTCTAAAAGTTTTACATTTTATGTTAATCAGAACCTTGTTGGTACAAGTAAGCAGCAAGGAAAATAGTAACTGAGAAGCACTAACAAAACCATGCAGGAGCTGGGCTCGGTGGCTCAGCCTGTAATCCCGCGCCTTTGGGAGGCTGAGGTGAGTGGATTGCCTGAGCCCGCAGGTTCGAGACCTGCCTGGGCAGGCAAGACCTCATCTCTACAATAAATCAAAAAATTAGCTGGGCGTGGTAGCGCGCGCCTGTAATTCTGGCTACTCGGAAAGCTGAGGAGGAAGGATCGCCGGAGCCCAGCAGGTCGAGGCTGCGGTGGCCGGGAGTGGCCACTGCACTTCAGTCTGGGCGACAGAGTGAGACTCCAACTCAAAACAAACAAACAAACAAACAAAAACCATGCAGGAGTGAGGAGGATAGCAGATGTGTCCACACACTGCCCAACTAGAGTTTCTTTTTTCTTTCCTTTTTTTTTTTAATTTTGATCCTTTTGGGTGTGTTATCAAACTGACAGATGTGTCTGCCTGGTAATAAAGTGACCCCTCTTTTGGACTTACAGAGGTGCCTTACTCAGTCTCAATCCAGGGACCCTGGGCGGTGCTCTCAGCCCAGCTCTGATGAGCAACAGTACACTGGCAACTATTCAAGGTCAGTAGAAGCTGTTTCCTTACTTAGCTTGTGTGTGTGTGTGTGTGTGTGTGTGTGTGTGTGTGTGAGAGAGAGAGAGAGAGAGAGAGAGAGAGAGAGAGAGAGAGAGAGAGAGAGAGAGAGAGAGGTGGCAGAAACCTGCTTTACTTGAGGAGAAGGTGGTGGGGAAAGATAGTTGAATGCTGACTAACTTGTTCTTGAGGACCAAGAAAATGTCCTTAACAGCTTTGGAAGAAAAGTCTAAATGTTAGTTTGTGAGTAAAAACAGAAAATATACTTAGTTTGGTATATTGTAGGAAACCAGGACTTTTATGCTGGTATTTATCTTCTTATGTGAATAGACTTTTCCCCCTGATAAGTCTATCCAAGTGCTCATCTAAATAAAACCCATCTCAAAGCAAGCTTGACCAAGTAAGACTCTACTCCCCATCTCCACCATAAAGAAAGCTATGTGTCAGAAAGTCATGTGATAATGAATTAACGTTGGAGTGTATCAGGCAGACTCCAAGGATACTTTTAGTTCTTGTTAGGTTCTACCTTTTTATATCCTCTTCAGTATAGAGCTCATATTTTGTTAGATTATACTCTCTCCCTTCCAAGCCCAGTTGGGTCCCTTTCAGCCTTTTAGCATGTTGTCCAGGGCAATTTTCATACCATATAGTAAAGGATTTCCCTTGTTTGTCATCTGAGCTTTGTATCTAAAGATGCTTGCTGTTAAGTGATTCGTGAAAACAATTTGAGAAGCATCACTATATTAATTAGAGAATGTTTTTTCTTAAAATAGTTTGATAAGAGGCTGAGGTGTGAGGATCACTTGAGGCCAGGAGGTCAAGACTGCAGTATACTATGATTGTGCTATGACTACCCACTGCACTCCAGCCCAGGCAACATAGCGAGATGCTGTCTCTAAAAAAATAAGAGAAAAATAAAATAGTTTGTGCTTAAACAAGAGTTTTCAGGGCCAAAAGTAAACTGCTAACCAAAACCAACTTCAGTTAAAATTAATGTTTTACAGGTGGTATCTCTGAGAGTGTACTTCAGAGAATATTGATTACAAACAAAACAAAATCATGACCTAAATTACCTTTCCTTATATTGACTATTTGATTAACTAAATCATACCTGAAATGATGGTTAGATCTGTAAAGCTTTTGTTTTTGTTTGAATCAAAGTCTCTCTGTCACGCAGGCTGGAGTGCAGTGGCACAATCACGGCTTACCACAGCTTCGACCTTCCTGAACTCAGGCAATCCTTCCACCTTAGCCTCCCAAGTAGCTGGGACGGCAGGCATATGCCACCATATCTAGCTAATTTTTTTACTTATTGTAGAGACAAGGTCTCACTGTGTTGCCCAGGCTGATCTGAAATTCCGGGTCAAGCAGTTCTCCTGCCTCAGCTTCCCAAAGTGCTGGAATTACAGGCATGAGCCACTGCAACCAGCTGCTTTTATTATGTGATGATTTCTTATGGGAATAAGATTTGTGATGAATCACTTTTTCTCCTGCATTATTGAGTGTTCCTGGGCTGTGGGGGAGTACTGCAAATGCCTTCCCTAGGACATACATAAAGCAGATGCTCCCTGAAAAGATCTAGAACTGGTCTGTGACCCTAAACCTGGAATCTCAGAAAACCTCAAGCTGCAGCAAATCTTACTGTTCTGTACTGTTGGTATGACCATGTCCAAAGTCAGAAGCATTCCCTTCAGCTCCATATCATGTAAGAAACCAACCCAAGTTTTAATGTCACCAGAAAGACCCTCAAATCTGCATGTAAGGGTGAGGCTATATAACCAGGGGGATTTGAGGGTATGTTGTCAGATAACAGTTGAAGATATTAAGTGAGAGTTCAATTAATTGAAATAAGATTTTGACGATGCCTTCTTTGGGGAAGCACTGGCATCCTGAAAAAATTCTCACCCATTAAAGCCAGTCCTAATCTTATATCACGGATCTACCTGGGGCCACCTACATTGTTATGTCTCTTGATTTCCTCCTGCAATAGACCATTCATTCTCCTTTGCAAAAACATAGAAATCAAACGTTTTGCCTCAGGAAATAAAAAAATTATACCTTTTACTTTATTTGGTAGTTATATAAGTTATTTTAAAACTAAAGCCTTTTTGAAAGAGGGTTTTTGTCTTATATATCATACTATAAAGTATTTCCCCAAATTCATCAATAATGACATTTGGTTTACAAAAGCTAAATATATTTTAATGCTTAATCACTTTGGTTAGTCTTTTGAATGAGATAGTTTAAAATCAGCAGTCTTCATTAAAGACAGAATTATTGGATTTAACAAATACCTAGATAAATGAAATAAAACTTGAGATTTCAAGATAGAACTGTGACTCTGATTCACTAGACACTTCTTATTAGCTTTCTTTTCTAACCTGTCCTGTTCGTGCTCATTAAATTAGTTCAATATTTAGGCTCTTCAGAATTATAATTAAACTATAATCGATATCAGAATAGCACTGTGATTGAGGGGAAAAAAAATCAGTGAAGGGCTATGCTTTTTCCTACTGAATTGTAGAAAAACTCAGTAGACCTTTGATGTATTGTTTGATTTCTCCAGGATGATGATAATGTTCTCCTTCCTGCCTGTTTTTGGGGGTTTTGTCTGTAGCTCTTGCTTCTGGTGGCTCTCTTCCAATAACGTCCCTGGATGCAACTGGGAACCTGGTGTTTGCCAATGCAGGAGGAGCCCCCAACATCGTGACTGCCCCCCTGTTCCTGAACCCTCAGAACCTCTCTCTGCTCACCAGCAACCCGGTTAGCTTGGTCTCTGCCGCCGCAGCCTCCGCAGGGAACTCTGCACCTGTAGCCAGCCTTCACGCCACCTCCACCTCCACTGAGTCCATCCAGAACTCTCTCTTCACAGTGGCCTCTGCCAGTGGGGCTGCGTCCACCACTACCACCGCCTCCAAGGCACAGTGAGCTGGGCGGAGCTGGGCTGCCACAAGCCTTTTTCACTCTGTGGTGTGATTGGGCTGCCAGCCAGGTTAATAAACTGAAAAATGTGATTAGCTTCCTCTCGCCATGTTGTAAGGGCAAAGGAGAGAAGGGAGAGACGAAAAAAAAACACACACCAGAAAAAAAAGAAAGGAGGAGACGGGACAACATTTGCCTAATTTTGTAATAAAACACTGTCTTTTCAGGATTGCTTCATGGATTGGAGAACTTTCTAACCAAAAATTAAAAAAAAAAAGAAACAAAAATTCAAAAACAAACAAACAAAAAAATAAGTGAAAGGACTACTTATCATTTCCAGCAGTCTTGATGACGAGTTAAGGTGGGTTACCAATTCCAATATAGGAAGGGGATTTCTTGTTTGTCTAAATTTTTTTTTCTTAAAAAATCATTTTTATGGGTCTGTTGTACAGGCCATTAAGTCATAACAAGGTGTTTATAATCGTATCAATTGTGTTGGGGGTTCCTTTCTTAACTGGTACAATTTAGGCAGGCCTGTATTACTGTATCTCTATTATTATTGTTGTTATTGTTTTTATATATATATATATATTATATATATAGTTTGGACATGTTTATCTCTTGCTCCTGGATCCTATTTCAGTGAGCTCCCACACTGTGGGGAGGGAGGGTTTCGAGGTAAGGGGAGACTTCTGTTCTTAACTGCGGGGAATGTTCTTGCTGGTTTCCTTATCCTTGATGACTCTTACAGAGGTGCTAGAAAATTATTTTCTTTTGCCACTTATGCAAGAGGCTTGGTGCAGAAGCTGAAGGCAGTGTGTGCAAACACTCCCGCTCCACACACGCCCTCCCTCCCCCATCAGGCGGTGCCTTCGGAGCACTTTTGTGTAGGAAGGAATTCCTGCTGAACTGTAGCTCTCACTCACCCCCAGATCATTGAATGACCCGAGGCCCAGACCCTGTGGTGCAACAGTGCTGCTTTCTGCTACTTCCAATGGGAATAGCCGTACATGTTGCAGGGCAGGATTTGGTTCCGAAGAGCAAAGACTACTGCAGACACCTGACTTGGTGGTTCTCCTGATTTCTTGTCTCCTGAAAGATGCTCCTACTGTTGGTGTGTGTGTATGTTTGTTTTTTCCATTTTGTGGAAGTTTTTCATCCAGACTTCCTTCAACTTACTTGGCAAAGAACAAACTGACTTGTTGAGATTGGGAAATTTTCCCTTCTTTTACTTTCTGAAGGAATTCTCCTAGACTATTCTCCATAGTTTATATATCCAAAAGAGGTGTGGTGAAAAGAGTCTGAGGTTACAACTTCTTTCTCTCAAGAGCCGAAGACTTCCTTTCCACTGGATGGATGGCTCATAAATTCCTCTAGCCCTGAGATTCTCCTTGGTTCTTTGACTAGAGGCAGTTACTAGCTGGGCATGGTATCTGTAGGACTTTGAGCAGGAACTTTGCACACACCTCAAGTGTCTCCTTGGTTTGTTTGTGATGCTCCTGCAAGGTGGGTCTAAATGGCAATACACGTCTCTTTAATCAGTGTGGAAAGGGATTAGCTCCTGTAGTTGTTTTCAGGGTATTTCTAGACTATAAAATGAGCCCATTGAAAAGGACGAGTTTGTGAAAATGGATGAAGAGGAATAAGGGTAACTTGGAGATTAAATTTCCCTTGTTGTCGATATTCTGTTATTAGACCATCTGTACCAAAAAAGTTTCTAAGAGCCTGGATCACTCCAGTGCAGCTCACCTGAGGTCCTGTTGGAGGACCCATTTGGTGTCTGCAGGTGCTTGTTGAAATCTCTAGCAGTTCTAAGTCTGCACTTTCCCCCTTTTCGAGGTAGGGGTATTGAGAGAACTTGCAGGTGATTTCCCTTCTGACTGCTTGGCTTGTGTCCTCAAAGGAGCTTGGGTTCTGTGTGTGTGTCTCTTCATCGTTGTTCAGAAAGGCAGTCATACAGACAGTGTCTACTTTTGCTTGTGATTCAAGTGGGAGACAGTCACATTAATATTAAAAGGTCAGAAACGTCTTAGTCCATTTTAAATTTTCCTTTAATTTTTTCTGTCTTGTTTTATTTGACAAAGTATTTTAATGACCACCCCTAAATTTCCTCTTACCCTTCACCTTCCCTAAGAGTCCTCCAAAATCAGTGAACAGCAAGCAGGGAAGCTAACAAATGTCCATCCACTTTTTTTGTGTGGTGTGTTTTTTATGTTTTGTTTGGTTTTTGTCTTTTTTTTTTTAACTAAGCTTGAACCAAAGTCAATTTTTAGCAAGCTGCTGTACTAATGGACTAGTGTATAACGTGCATTTCAGACACATCGAGGAGATAGATGCTACTGACAATTTCTTTTTCATTTGTCTTTATTAATTTTATATAAAAGTTGCTGCTTGTTTTTAATCTTTTATGTTGGTAAATTTTAATATCCTCTGGGCAGACATTAACTTGATGTTAACTAGTTTATCTAGGTTGATGTGTAAATAGAATGGCAGTGTCAGTTATCTATTTCTCTCCTCTTCATCTTCTTTTTCTCTGTTGTAGTTTAATTTAATCTTCTATCCTGTCTTGACTTCTCTAACTTTAGTCTGTGCAAATGATTCTAAGGCTATCAGTAATACTATAACTGCCCATAGTAATGAGTCCCTCCCTTGGGAGTGGTGAAAGTGGTGAAATTAGAAGGAGGGAATCAGGGAGGGAAATGCTGATACCCACCATACTGGATTAGAGGTTATAGCATTAATTCCCCAGAATTGCTACCAAAGGAAGTGTGGAGTCCCAAAGGGCTCAAGCCCAGTGAGTGGAGAGGAAGGACAAGGAAAGGCTATTTTCATTTCTGTTTTTTTCCCTCATGTGTGGTTTTAGAAAGGATCCCTTTCCCAAATAAGATTGACCAATAGACTTTAATATTTAAAAGATACTTAGCTTTAAATGTCAATGCAGTGGGCTCTTATCCCCTGCCTGTCTATATTACCTAGTCAATTGGGGATGAGGGAATTCTGCCTCTTTGTGTGGCAATCACTTAATGAGGGTAAACCTTAAACCAGCATAAAGGAAAATCTGTGTTTAATAAAAAGAGAGAAAAATAATCTTTAGACAAAGATAAATCTTTAGATAAACTTTTTTAAAGTTGTGAAATGGAAGGTACATTTACACTTGTACACACGAAACACTAATATAGCTTGTTGGTGGGTGTTTACAATCAGCTCCCCATCACCATCTCTAGCTATTCTGCTGATCATATTGCTTCATGAACACCTTGGTCATTTTTTACCTTACATCATCTTTTTTCATCATCTCAAGGATTGAATTGAATGAACTATCTCCTGAACTAAGGTACTCAAACATAACTTTCAGCCACCTTCTATGGGAGAATCTGGAAACTACAGAGGGTCATTTGACCAAAAAGAGGTGTTGGTGGTTTCTGCATTTCAAAGAAGAAAGCCTAGATAGGTCATCACAATTCATTGTTGCATTCTTCTTATTTTTCCCCTTAGTGTTTAAGCAGTTTTATTTTAGCCCTAAATTTGGTTGACACATATTAAGCCAAAGACTAATTCTAAATGCATTTATAGTGATACTATATTTGCCCATGGTAATGGGCCTTCCCTTCCTAGGGAGTGTTGAATGTAATTGTTTCAGTCCTGCTTATCACAAGTGGTGCAATTTGGTCATAAACTTTATTTATACCCTGTATAAATCTGAAAGAGCAGAAAGACCTAAAAAAGGGCTTCTCACAGGAGCAATAGTATACTCTTCTAAGAAATAAGTTGAGTGCTGTATTTGTTTAAATGTTTTTAAAGCTCTATAGGCAGCTTTTTAGAATTAAGAAAAAAATTGTTTCCATTAACTGATGTAATATGCTCTTCCTTTTATTTATTATCAGAAAGACCAATACCATTCCAATTTACTCAACTTGTCACTCGAGAAATGGAACCAAAGGAATCCAACTTGCATTTTGTTTAGGACCATACCTATTTATGCTTTATGGTAGCATTATAAAAAATTAATCTTGTTTATTTAAAAAAAGGGAAAATAAGATTATTTAAAAGATTTTTAGTGATATCATCTTGCCGGTTTGTTCTACATCATTCATTCATTCATTGTTGGAGGCAAAAAGCACAATTTTACCTCTTTTTAACATTATTTTGTTCCATTATCTCTCATTTATTTGAGAAGATATTATATTATCCAGAAGCACAGATATTTGCTTAACACAGTATTTTAATTCAGCCCAATCTTTAACATTAAATTTTCTTGTTAACTTGCTGGAAAAGCTGGGATACGACTTCAAATGTAAGGAATTTGTGTCAATATTTAAAGTTATAAATGCTGATAGAAAACATTGCTATTAGTATAAAATTAATGCTTGGCGTAATTACAGAAGAAACTCTCAGTAGTTCATAGTCTAAAACTGTTTCCAGATGATGTCATCCTTACAAAGCGTTCTTGACCAAGGAAAAAAATAAGATTGTTGAGATAGGAAGACAGAGGAGAAACCTTTCTTTTGTTTTTCCCCAAGAAAGTGCTGCCAGGGTGAAGTTGGTGGCACTGAACCTACAGTGTGGTGACAGCAAGCAGGCAGGGACCTAGTGCTGGCAAGCTGCTTTGGCCCCAGAGACCAGTCTGCAGTGTGCGAGCCTTCAGTTCAGGAAGGGCCGCCGCAGTTCATTAAAAGAGAGTGATCACGTGCTTTCTTGTTAAATTAGCATCTAGACTTGACGAATGTATCATTTATTCTTTAAACTTTGTTTATTTTAGAATTAGAAACATTAAAAGATGGCTAATACTAATGGGAGGAAAAGACTAAAGGCCTGAAATTTAAAATTTTCCAACACAGCAAGAATTGAGGGGTTAATTTGCCTGTAACTGATATGAGGTCACCATGTATGTGAAAAGCATTTCATGTGTGCCGTTGGTCATGTGAGTCATAGTCCTGGCCGTTTGAAGTCATTGTCAGCCTTACAGCATTTCAAAGATGACATTTATAAAATGGTAAATATTTCTTGGCATTCACCCTCACTTTTGAGAAGGAAAAAAATCCTTCTCTGCCATTCCTGTAAGAATGACAGACCAGCTGTTCCATAGGTCTGCATAGATGGTACATAAAATACAGATATGAACTGGGACAGCAATGAGA